TTTTTAAATTTCAGCTGCCTTTCTAATCTATAACTCAGATTTATCGGTGCATTAAATGCTCTCTGAAGTGGTGCCTATTTGCCTTATCCTACTGCGCGCACCCAGTTGGCATTTGCGATTCGTTCAGCGGACGGCCAACCTGATCGGACAAAGGATGTGGCGCAACCAGGGTGGCTACATCTGTCTTTAACTTTAGTGTACTCAAAGAACTCACTTTTATAAGCCCAGATATTTCAAAGCCCTAAGCTCAACATTCCTCTCCCCTTCCCCCCAATCCCCACTCCCCCCCCCCCCCCCCCCCAAAAAAAAAAATGTTACCCAACTAAAACATTTTCTAATAGCGGAAAAGTGCAACCATCTCTACTTTTTTTTTTTTTTTTTTTTCTGGTTTAATATAGATTACAACGAAGAGAGTACAAAAAGTACATAAACCATCATCAAAATGTTACATGTACTATTTTATGCTGAAAATAATACATACTAGATACTCATATCTTAAATGGGCCCTTTTCCACTTCGGAAAAGAGACGTCCCAAGTGCCACTAGCTGGCAAACAAACAAAGCACTTTATTTCAGACAATGCTGGTGTCTTAGGTCCTAATAATGTGTATTGATTCATATTTCGGCTTTGTGCGATTCATGACATAAGCTTCCCCGAAAAATGGCAAAGACAAAACCACGTGCCTGCACATATTCATGCAATGTCCTGTTTTTTTTTTTTGTTTTTTTTTTTTTTAGTGCGTCTGCAGCGTATATGTTCGCAAAACATCCCGCTTTTCCCGAAGAAAATAATCCCTGGAGAAGGGGAACAAAAGACATAAAGACCAAAGAGAAATATTCAAATAAAGCTAGGTGACAGGTTCGCGACCAAAAAAACGTCCACCTGGTCCTGGTATAAAACCAGGGACCTCCCCGTTTTCAGTGAAGCGCTCTACCAATTGAGCTAACCAGGAGCTAGACATCAGTAAAGCAAACGAGTTTTAACAGCTGCCTCCAGACTAATTAATACCAAGAAGGGAGAACGGCCTGCATTTTAAGGTTATGATGATAATGCAATTAATGCGAAAGTAAAAGGGAGCTGTACAAGAATAACGATAATAATCCCTGGCAAAGGGGCATAAGAGGGACAGGAACAAACTCAAATTTTCAAACACAGCTTGGTGAGTTGTACGTGACCGAAAAAATTCACCTGGTCCTGGAATCGAACCAAGGACCTCTCCAGCTCCAATGGGGCGCTCTACTAACTGAGCTAACCAGGAGCTAGACGCAGTACAGCAAACGGGTTTTATCAACTGCCACCAGTCTAACAATAACAAGAGTGAACGGCCTGCATTTTAAGGTTATGATGATAATCCAATTAATTGAAAGGGGCAAGCGAGCTGGACAAGAAGGACGAAAACAATCCCTGGAGAGGGGAAACAAGGTGAACAAAGGACAAACACAACTTTCCACGAACAGTTAGGTCAATGGTGTGCAACCGAAAAAATTCGCCTATTCCGTGTATCGAACCAGGGGCCTTTCCATTTCCAGTGGAGTGCTCTACCAACGAAGCTAACCAGGAGTTAGATGTCAGTAGAGCAAACGGGTTTTATCAGCTGCGACCCGTCTAACACCAGCAAGGATGAACGCGTCCTGCATAATAAAGTTATGATGATAATGCATTTAATGCAAAGGTGCAAGCGAGCTTTACAAGTATGACGAATATTATCCCTGAAGGAACGGGTCTAACGACAAAGGACAACGGACAAAGGACTCCTGGTTAGCTCAGTTGGTAGAGCGCTCCCCTGGAAATGGAGAGGTTCCTGGTTTGATACCCGGACCAGGCGTATTTTTCGGCTACGCACCAGTCACCTAGCTGTGTTTGGAGATTTGTTTTTGCCCTATGTCTCCCTCGTTGCTCCATTCCAGGGAGTATTTTCGCCATTCTTCCCCAGCTCGCTTGCACCTTTGCATTAATTGCGTTATTACCACAACCGCTTTTCCTGCTTTACATTTTTTCCCGTTGGTTACAATACTATGGGTGTAATAAATTAATGTCACAAACTTCCGCAACACCTGGTACTTCTAGAAGGCCAGGGTGGCCTTCTAAACTTTCCTATTTCTTGTAGACTAGGGTGGATGAGAATAATACCTTTTCTGACAAAAAAAAAGTAATTTATTCAAACCAGAATTGCGTGACTTAAATCACCTTGTCTAAAAAAGATAGTAGTTCCTCCATTGTATTCGTTAGACATGAACCGAAGATTGGTTCTTCAATCAACTCAGTGAGAGAACAGTGGGGTACAGAATTTGACTGGCAAATCAATTACACTGTAAAGTACGGTTTGCTTCAGAACTTTTTTTTTATCTGGATGTAAGCCTAATAGAACTGGCACTAGAACAAAAGCAGCTTGGTTTTTCAGAAATGAAAAAGTTATCCTGCTGTATTACTTCAGCAATAGGTTTGTGAAGACAGCTTTCGCTCATTTTTTCTTCTTTCTTTAATAAAGAAAGGGTAAATAAACAAAATATTCGGGTGTATTTGTGCGGGGAAGGTATCATTCCCATCGTAGTAAAACCGGTGTGATTTATATCATAATTTAAATCCCAATTTAAATCCTCTTGGCTGTTATTATCCACCCTGCTTTCAACATATAACTTAACAATTATTTAATCTTGTAAATGCACAGCAGTACGGAAAAAATGAAAAAAACTAAAGAATCCCGCTAAGTAATTAGCCTCAAATGGTAAGGGTAAGGTAAGGTATTTGTTCAAACCTAAAAAAAAGAAAAAAAAAAGGTTTGCGTTGTGCCATTGCATGAGCAGGTATGTAGACGCTTTAAATTTCTTAGAGTTCGCATGGTTACACGAGTTGGGCTGAAAAAAAGTTTTCGCGTTATCTCAATAAACTTAATATGGGAATCGCAACTCGCAAAAGAGACAAAGAGAAGTAAAACATGAGATTCTTTTCCTATTTCTCAGATGTCCAAATGCATCATATACTCTAGCCCCACTTCCTCTTTGCACGCTCAAAAAATAAGTCCCAAAAGTCCCGCCTAACTCGCACGAAACTTCAATGCAATTTTTTTTTTTTTATGTTTGTCAAAAATTGGGAGCACAAGCTTATCAGATTCTATCATAAGCACTACACTCAAGCGGAGGCTTAACGATGGAACTTTGTCTTGAGACAGATTGAGTCCGTGATTTATGCTTGTGCGCAAGAAGGGTTATATTTGCCTAGAGTAAAGGGCGATATTTTTGTGATCGTTCGCGTTAGCCATGCAGTCTTTATTCATACGTTGCAGCCAAGACCCACACCACCATCATCCAACCAACCAAATTTAATAATCCGTCGTTGTGGTGCGCAGCGACAGGCTTGCTTGCGGAAGATAATTATTTAATTAAAGGCGCAGTGCCCATATTTCTTTACCTCTGCAAATACATCGAATGTCATTTCAGACGTAACAAACTCAGTGCACATGACTCTTATTCTGCCTGAAATATCTATGCAGTTTTATGGTCCAAATTTATGAGGTTTTGATAGGAGCACTCTGTCCTAAGTGCGTCTTGTTTACCGGCGCATGAACTTGGGAAGTTGATCACTCTTGGCACCGCAATGCTCTAAGTCGAGAAGATATATCGATAATGTCGATCGTTAAATATGAAAGAACGAGATCTGACCTACTTTAAGGGCAGAGCCACTATTCGATCGACGCCTCAAGATTTAAAACGCGACACATTAATTAATTATCTTTTTTCTTATATGTGATATTTTTAGAATGAAGTCACATTTTGAGAATTTACGTGCCTAACGAATAAAGGCGCCATCTTGCTCGCTGCAGCGAAATATTGAGATTGCTTTGAATTGGGAAACAGTGACATTTAATTTTATCAGATATGTCTCGATGCCCGTATGAACAATACGGGTAAAACTGAAAGTTATTTTTTGTACTCTTGCAAACTATTTTGTTTGCTAAAATAACTATTTTACCCCGGCCATTTTGAAACATATATCTATTATAAAATGGTGCATTATACCATACTCCTTGTACAACGTGGTCTTTTGTGAAAATATATTTCATAATAATCCTAAATTTCAAACGCACGTACAACTTCTTGCGTGGTATTACAATTAGAAATCATCAAGCGATTTGCATCACTTAAAAAGCAAGAGACTACCAAACCCGCCAGAGACCGCCATCTAGCGCAGTAAGGATCCGCATTGCCTTTCTGGTCTAGTCACCCCACTTTCATAGAGCAACACAGCCTTATTGTCCGTTCTTGGGTGTAGGAAGTGTTGATGCCTTACAAAGCTTCGATGCGTTCAGCTCTGCCTTAAGAAGTCAACATACTTCAAAAATAAAACCAAGTTGTTCAGTTCCGTTAAAAAAATAAAACTGTTTTCATTTGCCGTCATGCTTCACTATCTCGGCAGTCGTTTTATCTGGCATCAAAAAAACGATTAAAAAAAAGTGTCTTTAATACAAAAAAACAACCCTCCGACCATCGGAAAATGTTCAAAATATTGTTGATCAGCTAACCCTATGTTTTTTTTTGGTCACATAAAAACGCGTTGTTGTTTCTACACCCACTGACTGGCGGCCCTCTTGCCTGATATTCTGACCAAAGAATGTTAACTGGGAGTAAGGTGTAACAGATGACACCAAGTCTGAAAATGTTTCCCTTAGAATCCATAACCAACCTAAATGTCTGCGACCATCAACAATGTTATAGACGAGAGAAGAAAAAAAGTCCCAATAAAAATCCTATCCTCATTTAGTCGCAGCTTTGGCGAACGATTTCACAACCTTAACAACAGTAAATAAATAAATCAAGCAAGACGTTTGAGGAGTTAAAGACGTCTGCCACACACACAGGCGTAGCTTTAGGATACGAACGACTCTAAAACAAACAAGTTTTTTTTTCTTTTCTTTCTCACGCACGTTGTGCTCTGCGGGGACCCTTTTTTCAGAGCGCGAAGTGTGCAAGACGTCTTCCGTTCTCTCTGCCCGCAAGGACAGGTGACGATCCTGGTGGCGGGGGCCCGGGACGGCGCGTCGGTGCCGATCGTGACTCCGTCCAAGGACCGGACGCGGTTCGCCAACATCTCCATCCACGGGCACCACTCTCCGCGCAAGCCCCTGCCCAGCGTGCATAAGCTCAACGCCTCGTGCCTCCACGACAACAGCTTCTGCGAGTCGCTGCCGGGATACCCGGAGTAAGATGCCGCTGTTCACTCATTTCCGTGTGCACGCGGGAGGTGCGCCACGCGAAGGGTCTAAGGCACTGGTTAAGTGGCCGGCGAAGAATACGGCGCAGTGCGAACTTTTCCTGCAGTTTTTCTTTTGTGCTCCCAATCGCATTGTACTGCTCCGAAAATCCGCGGTCACAACTGCCCGTACATCAAACAAAGGGCACGGCGTTCGCTGCAGGCATGAAGACAGAATCATTGGCGGCCTCAAGCATGTCCCAATCATGTTTGCTTCCTACAAATGTGCTCTGAGAACATGCCTGCAGGCGGTCGTTGTATGATCGAAGAAGGTACGAACAGTTTTACCACAACTTAGCTTCGTTTCGTAAATCCGGTATACACTTTCTACGATTGCTGCAAAAAGGACTGATTCGCACAGTTTTGTTTGAGTGTGATTCAGTGTGTGGAGGCCGCTTGTAACTAACCACGTACGACGAGGGGACTCCCTGGCACACTGGCACAGCATCTACCGGTAGCCTTCGAATACTCGAATGCACGTATTTGATTTTTTAAGTGCTATTTTTTTTATACCCTATATAGTATCCAAATAATCTTGAAAATATTGTGTAAGTTATATTTTGTGATAAGTCGTGCGTCGATTCGATTTCCCAAACACTGCAAAAACCTTCAGTTTAGTTATGCGCAGATCGCAAATGTTTTAGGGGTACACCTATAGACGGCGCTATAGTGCCGCCTCTCGTCGTAAGCGTTTAAAGCGGTGAGAATAGACTCGAGATCACACTCAAACGGAAATATGCGAACCTTGCCTTTGAGATGTAAAACGAGCTAAAAAAATGTGTTTTTTTTTGTTTTTTTTTTGTTTTTTTAATACATATTTAGATTTATTGTGCAATCTTTACTCATAATCACAAAAAAAAGTAAAAAAAATCCGGCTCTTTTTGGAACGTGACTAAGTTCCGCCTTCATGCGTTGAATTAAAATACATGCAGATGCACCCTGATTAGCTTTGTGTCATTTTATGAAGACGTAGACGTTTCAAACGCCAAAAGCATTCATTATTTTCCTTCGACTACCAAACATTGTAAGAACTACTTCGTACGGCGCATGAATAATACGCAAAACGTCGGTCGTACGGCGCATGAATAATACGCAAAACGTCGTTTCTCTTTTTTATTTTATGTGCCAACGAGTAAGTGTGTACAAAGGTCTACATCGTCTATAGCCGTGTGGCGTGGGTGATCTTGTTGTCTCGTTCAAGTGCACTTATTTGTTTATTAGAACAGCATTTATAAGACGCATCATTATATGGCGAATGATCATCAACCTACCACCGACGCACGTTCTTCACAGACTGCTAACATTATGTCCAGATGGGTAGGAGTTAAAGAATACTTTAAATATGCGAAGTTGGTTCACACAAAAAAAAATCATATTTTAATGTGTATCTTTTGTTTGGCGCAGTCCGTTTTTATGTTCATTTTCACTTAACTTAATGTTACTTTTAATGCGTTCCTTGTTAGTTTTTTATGTTCCCTTCTTTGCACTAAAAATACGTGTTTGTGTTCGTTTATCGTTACTAACAGGTGTGCCACTTTATTGCCTAATGTCGTTATAAGGCACAGCTAGAAAAACAAGAAGTACAAATACACTGGAAAAAGTCGCCGTGTGCTTTGATATAGAGCAGTAAACATTCTAACTTCCTTCCAGCTCACTCGATAAGCATTCCAATGAAATCAAAGCACAAAAAAAATTATCCTAATTTTAAAAGTTACAGGAAGATTCATTTGTGGATTTTTACAAAAGCCGTTAGTATGAAACTTGGAAATGCCACACACGTCCCTATTCGGGAAACGCTAACGCTGACCCCTTAGCTTTTCTCTTTTGGCTTTTTCTTTTGCCTTTCTATTTTGGCTTCCTCTATTTTTTGCTGCCTCTTTTTGGCCTCGTTACGGGGTCGGCGTTAGCGCTTCACAAAGGGGGACACGTGTCGCGTTTCCAAAGGTCGTGCTAATGGATTTCCCAAAAATCCACCGATAAGTCTTCCTGTAATTTTTTTCACATGTTTTTTGCACGCTGCCTTTTAGAGTACGTCGACGCCCTTGGATATGCTCATCCATATCACTCGTGGAAAACACCACATCTATACCACTCGTGAAAGGAACCGCATCTATATCATTCATGGAGTAAATCGCATTTATCGTTTTAGCTAAACACACACACACACCACAGCCCACGCACGCACCGCCACTACGGAAACCCAGAGTGAAGAACAACCGGCGACGGCAGAGCGTCAACTGAGTACGCCCGCATTCCACCGCGCCGTGGCACAACACCTCCTAGATAACAAAGCCGTAAAGCTGAATGAGGTGGCGTCATCACAGAAGGCCAACGCTGGCCACATATTGGATACGGCGACTGCGCCGACGTTCGGCTTCAACGACCCGAAGCCGAGCCCTGACGCAGCCCTCCTTTCCAGTCTGTGTCCAGCGTTGGCAATCTCGTTTGACGCCATCTCATTCAGCACTACGGCTTTAGTACAGGAGGTGTTGCGCGGTGCCGCCTCCTCTCTGGCTCCACCCCAGTTGTGCGCGTGACTGACGTAAACGATAGGGCTTGTTGTGACAAAAACCCGGCGGTGTCTGTCAGTTTGTCAGCGCCGGGAAGAAAGGGAGAGGTTGGCGCGTTCTGACGTCAGGGCTTCGGACCAATAAGAACGTCGCACTCGTCACCCTCTTTCCCTCCTTCTCCATCTTTTCCCTGCGCCTACGAACGAAAGACACCACCAAATTTTCGTCAAAACAAGCGTTCTTATGCTAACGCATTAAAAGAAATAAGATACGCAAAAAGAGACAGACTTTCATGGACAAGCGGTTCGTGAAGAAGCATAGACCAGCGTCTCTAGCTACTGAGAGCTTGAGAAATGCGGGGCTCGGCGTTTTAACGAGATGGCATGAAGGAGTTGGTGCCGCGAAAAAGCCGGCGTCGGTGGCGTGGCGCGAAAATCATGATTGGTCGATAGGGTCAAGACGTCAGAGCCCCATACCCTCCGCGAGAATTTGAAAGAACCCACAACGCTCCCGTAAACCGTGACGTCACGCGTGGAATGAAAGTGATTAAAACGTGACATGTAACGCGAATTAGAAGTCGCAGCATACCTTAATTAAAGGACTTTACTTTATAAAATAATTCATTTTGCCTAAAGAAAAATTTGAAGAATTTTAGGCGGGATTCGAACCCACGAGCCAGACACGCTACAGTACTAGGCCACGGAAGGCGCACGCTCGCATGGCGAATGGGAAGGCGATGCGAACGGGGCCTGATAACGCTGTCGCGTTTTATGTTCGCGCTTTCTGCTTCGTAATTAGTTCGCCGGCGTTCCCATCGGCTGATGCCGCAGTTGTATGCGGCTAGAAAATAAGGGACAGCAGGAGACAAGAGTGCGCGGGGGACGTCAGAACGGCGAGCTCTGGTTCGAATGATTAGTGGGTAGACCTAAAGTTAGCTGCCTTTGTCTCCACTGCACTCGTCGAACGCGTTCAAACGTGGAACGCAGGCGTCCGGTATTTGGCGCTTGCATTCGGACGGGTTCGACGGGTGTCGTGCCGACGGGCATTGGCTCTGTAGCCAAAACAGGGTTGTCGGGACTCGTCTTGAAACTATAGTAACTACAGTTGACTGCAGACCACATGAAACATGCGAAGCCGCGTTACCCGTGTGAAGTTTCACACAGAGCACGCGAATAACAAATCACTGCCATTTGCAAAGGTACACAGCGAATGACAAAGCACTGCTTCGACCCACCTTCAAGAATCTACTGAGTGATCACGTGTCTACCTTCCCGCCGGAAAACGCTTCCAAAACAAAACCACTCTCCGATACCAGCTGAAGGTAACTCGCAAATGCTAAAGCCTGAAGAGATCTCGTGACCAAGAAATGTGGTCCACGCTTTGGTCGCTTAACATGATATCTTACTTGATAAGCCAGCGCAGATGACTTTTTTTTTTTTTTCTTTTTTTGTAATTGAATTATTTTTCGAGTGTCTTCACTCATTAGGTTTTCTTCGACGACTGATGCGATTAACTTTACGCATGCTCTGCAAGGGCGTATAAACCATTAAAAAGAGTGCTCGTTCATCGACGAGCCCTCTTCCCGCTCGTCCATCGAGGTCGGCGTTCTCAGTATGCCCCGGCGCGGCGCTCTTTTTGCGTCAATTCATCCTCAGGATCTATAGCGGTCTCTTTCTCGAACTCAACGTGAAAAGTGAGCCATTGCGCGCTCCGCTTGCGTGCATCTGTTATGTGATGGCGTCACCTCCTCCAGAGTCCAGAACACGCCACAGCGTCCGCTCTCTATACGCGCAGCTGGTTCGCGCTGACGTCACGTAACCTGTGTAAACATGTTTCACCAATCACGACGCGGTTCCCTTCGCCGCATGAGCTCTCCCTCTGGCCCGGGTTTCACCCACTGAACGGGAGCGCTACCGAAGCGCTTACGGGCGAACGCTCACGATCTCAGGGTTTGCTGCACCCAATAAATGCTATCGCATTAAAAGGAGCCTAAGCTGCAACACTCAACGTGATGTTAATTTACAGGAAGTTCCCGAAAAAAGAAAATCTTAGTTTTTCGGCCCGGCTAAATAAACTGTATACACGGCGTGCAAGTTGGACTGCTCTTTGCTCTCCTCGTGCGTTTGTTTGCCCCTAAACGCGCGCACGTGCTTTTGTTTGCCCACGACCTCAACCATTGACGGCGCACGCTTGGCTGCCTCGTCATCACGCGCTCTCTGCGACTTCTCTGCGTTGCTCTTTGATTGGCGCGCTCAGCTCCTTGCGTTCCGATGAGACAAGAACGTATTTTGGAACACTTGCTCGCCATGTGCAGCGCAGAAAACTCAATCTCCGTGACAATGTGACGCTAGCAGTTTAGATATAACGCTAAAGTTTTAGAATATGACAGTACCTGGGACAAAGCGTAATTGAGAAAAACAAAATATTTTTTTATGAGTC